CATAGCCTATCGAAGGGAAGATGGCTGTGAAACTCTTTAGAATAACAAAATTAACAAATGAATATAACTCATTATCTATGTTGGTCAACGTTTATTCATAAATTTGGTCCTTTCACCGTCACGTGTGTATTGTATTTTTGCCAAATCCACCAATAGCAATGTTTAGGAAAGTCACCTATCCGTGACTCGAACAATAGGGAAAATGGAAATGGACTTACGCTTTAGCAAAATTTTTAATCTGGGAATAACAAAGGATATTTTCTGAAAGAAGTTATCAAAATTAGAAAAACTGCAAAGTTTGGTTGCGAAATGTTGTAAAATACGGAAAATATAGCCCTGCGAAGTTGGCAAATTTGTATACATTTCTATTACGTGCGGAAATTGGTAACTAATTTAGTTACCAATTCACGTACGTAATACAAAAGTATACAAATTTGCCAACTTTGAAGGGCTATATTTTCCGTATTTTTACAACATTTCGCAACCAAACTTTGTAATATTACTAATTCCAAGACGCTCTTTCCAGCTGTGGTGATAGATTTCGTTGTTCTTACTTCGATTAAAATTTAGTCTAAAGCGCAAGTCGTCCATTGCTATTGGTGGATTTGGTAAAAGTACAATAGACACGTGACGGCGAAAGGACCAGATTTATGAATAAACGTTGACTAACATAGATACTGAGTTATATTGTTATTCTAATGAGTTTCACAGCCATCTTTCCTTCGATAGGCTATGGTTTAAGCACAGAATAGGAAGGTATAGCAGAAGCGTAACTCAAGCAAGTATTTGTCCGCGTTTTTACAAGCGATTCGTCATCAATCACGCCATCCTGGCTAGTACAACCGGCACTTTGTACCTACCAAAACCTGATAAAAACTTCCGGTTGTACTAGCCAGGATGGCGTGAGCGAGTTAAAATTTTCGTGGACGTAAAACAATAAGGGAAACGAGTAGAGTTACGCTTCTGCTATAACTTCTTATTCTGTGGTTTAAGCAAGTAACGTTTTCGTCAACACAGACGTCGCCCAAAAATTGGTAGAACTAATTTTGGCGGCATTTTGCGTCATAGCGCTCGTGTAAAGAAGCAAAAAGTTTAAAAGTCTTCTGTTTTGTCATATGTGTTGAAGATTGCCACAGACTGCGTCCTTCCTAATGCAGCACTCGGCTGTAGGGAAAGATTACAGGTAAACTACGTGAAGCGTTCCTCTTTTGACTTCGTAACTCATTTGGAATTTTCCTCATTAGCTTCGCAAATTTGAAAAACTCTTTGCAAATCCCTTGAGGGAATTTGCAATGTTCCTATCGGCTGTTGCAATATTCCAAACTTCATTTTAAATTTTCCTAACTTCCTGTTTTAATTTCCTAACTTCCTGTTCTGTTCTGAGCGTTGTTATTGGTCGATTATTTTTGTTAGCCAATTGCAATGCCCAAAACAGAACAGGAAGTTAGAAACTTGTAACAGGAAGTCAAGAACTTCTAACAGGAACTGAGGAACATTTTTTTGGCTTTTAGCAACATTGCAAATTCCCTCAAGGGATTTGCAAGGGAGTTTTTTAAATTGCAAAAGTAATGAGGAAAATTGCAATCAATTTAGAAACTCAAAAGAGGAACGCTTCACGTGGTTTACCTGTAATATAGCATCTCTTCATCTTTAAAATTGGGAAAACGTACAAGCGATATACTGCTGATTCAAAAAACGTTTAATTTGATTGGCTTTAAGCTTGCTTTAAATGCTTGTTGACACAAAGCCACTTGTGTTTGTGGCAGTAAAAAAGTTAAAATTAAAAACAAAATGAAGCGAAAAAAATTTAAATTCATCCAATGAATTTATCATCTGACTTGGTTAGGACTGAGATGTAAACCAGACTTGTCATGCTATGCTAAGGGGGCGGACCATTAGAAAAGTGATGGGGGGGGGGAGCGAAAATAAAAATCATGCAGGGGAAACAGAAAGAAAAAACCGTGCACCAAGAAAATTTAAAAAAATTCATGCAGGAAAATTATAAGTTGAAATAAAAAAAAAATTCGTGCACCAAGAAAGTTTGAAAAAAAATTCGTGCAGAGATAAAATAAAAAAATTCGTGCAAGGAATTATATTTTAAAAAATTATCGACACAAGCAAAAAATGTAAAAAAATATTCGTACAAGTTGGAAAAAGTCCCCCCCCCCCCTCCATCACTTTTCTAATGGTCCGCGCCAGACATACCTGCATCTCGATGGGTTAAAGTTACATTTCTAAATGTTTGAATAATGCGAATCAGTAAACATTTGCATAGCATGACCTATTGCTATGGCTAGGCACGGATATAAACTGCTGCTGTGGCCTGACATATAGATTAAAAAAACCTTTTGAGCGGAGGCGACATTTGAGGTAACTTTAGGCTGATTAGCCTGATTATTTCATATTTCATTTGAAGAAAACAGTATTTTAATCTATGAAGTCATGGGCTTGCATTACGGATCCAGACATTTCAAAGTCGAGTGCAAGGAGGGAGAGGTAGAGGGAGGTAGAGGGAGGTAGAGGGGAAGAGAGAAAGAGGGAGAGGTAGATGGAGGAAGAGAGGTAGAGGGAAGAAGAGGGGGAGAGAGAAAGAGGGAGAGGGGGAGGAAGAGGGGGAGAGAGGGAGAGGTAGAGGGAGCAAGAGGTGGAGAGAGAAAGAGGGAGAGGAGGGTCGAGAGAGAGAGATTTAATATAATGATCTTGTAATGTCATCAATCGATTATATAATTAGTTGTTAATTTTTAGACATAATCAAATTGTTGTATGATTTAAATATAATAGATATTTGTTAAAAACAATATCAGCATGTATCGGTATAATTTTGATATAATTTTAAGAATTTTAATGTAAAAGCTGGTTTTACACTAAAAAAATTTGTATGATCACAGTAGCGTCACCCAATTTGACTCCAAGACGTTTGAATTAAAGTTGTCTTGAAGAGGTTTACCGACTAGCTGTTATATATTTTGATCAAGTTATACTTTCAATACAGAAACTGTAGAGTATATACCAGCGTAATTAATATAACTATTTCATGAAATAGACAAAATTCACATACATCTTAGGGGCAGGCCATTCGAATCACAGTGATGGGAGGAGGGACAAAAAAATTCGCGCAAAGGGAAACAAAAAAAATCGTTCGAAGAGGAAAACAAAGAAAATTACCATTCATTTCCGCCAAAACGTTCTAGCACAAGCAGACGGCCGAGAAAAAGAATTATTCATCGTGCAAGCTGAAACCCATCCCCCCCCCCCGTCCCTCATCACTTTTCTAATGGTCAATCTCTCATGAAAATGTTATCTAATAATGTATCCAATTATATAAGTAATTTGCATGTTTACTATTAAATAAAAGTTTTTTTTGCATGTATTCATAATTTATTGGTTAATTGTTGTAGTCTGTCTTTATTGGGATTTTGCCGAGTACTGCCTTCGCATGGGGTGGCAGCGAAGAGAATGTTTTTCTTGATAAAAATTTTGCTGACCTCAGATATGAAATAAAAAATAACTACCCACCCCTGGCCGAAAACTTTACAACAGGATACCATTCAGTTGTCACACATGTCCTTTACAACTTCTGTGACACGAGTTTGATAACTGCTTGTGTAATCTTCTGCAGTCTAAAATTCCATGTCTGCAATTTGGAGACGCAAACCCCACCGGCTTTACTTTGGGGTTAGAGTTAGGGGTTAGGGGGGTGGGGGTTAGAGGTTAGGGTTAGGGTGGGGGTTAGGGTTAACAACCCAATAACTTATTGCTAATAACGGTTGATAATTACAATACTATATTGTTGATAACGCAAGGAGCGGCTGGCCTCTTTCCTCTTCTAGAGGAAAGGCCCTGGTAGGAGCTGGTCACGTGATCTGCTAAAATCTAGCAGATTTTTACGCAATCTCGTACCCGGAGCAATGCCTGTGCGCGGGCTAGGATGGCATTGGCTCTGGGGAAATTGAATTTTTCCTGTGCTGTGATTGGTTAACGTTTATCAATCGTGCATGCCAACAAAGAACCGGAACCCCTAAATTTAGGGGTTCCGGTTGTCAATTTCCCCAGAGCCAATGCCATTCTAGCCCGCGCACAGGCATTGCTTTGGGTACGAGATTGATTTTTACGCTGAAGAGTAGACTTTATTGTATAAAATTGTTTTTGAAAAACTGACACTTAAGCAAGAGTTAACACCTTAAGAACATCTATTAGTCTGCGTGTGGACACCTATATTTCGTGTAATACTGTATACATTCATAGTGTACAGTCTTCAAGGCTGTTTCTATTCCAACCTCGTACCCAGGATCTTTCTGGGTTACGAGGTTGATTCCACTCATGTTCATTCTCGTACCCAGAGCCCTTCTTATGCGCGGTGCGACGAGTAAAACCTCGGACCCGCGAACAGGCTGCGTAGGAGACTATGCGACGAGGGGCTCTGGCCAAATCCATATTCCAGAACTGGCATCTGATTGGCTAGTTCTAACACCGGACATTGTTTTCTTACCATGTTTTTATGGTATCCGGTTATGGATTTGGCCAGAGACCCTCGTCGCACCGCGCGTAAGAAGGGCTCTGGGTACAAGAATGACTCGTGTTGTTTTTTCAAATTTTCGAATTTTTGTAAAATATCGCGTGCGCCAGCAATTTCTCTGCACAGCGACGACAAATTTCCCAGCTGTTGAAACCCTATGGTTGAAACCTGTTGGGAAAAAATGAATTTTGGAGACTGCCTCGTCCCCAGTCGCTTTCAAAGGGGGGAGTGGAAAACGAGAAAAATCTTTGTTCAATATCCCATCATGCATTGCCCGGCAATGATATCACGGCCACTGATCTATATAGATTGCAGTTGCACTGTGCCCAACGAAGGGCCTGCGGAGGAGGCAGTTTTGGAGATTGTCAATCTCGTTCCCCGAGCCTGCGATCCTTGGGAAGGAACGCGAGGCTCTGGGATAATCCGTTGCCGGAAGCTAGGAATTCTGGCTAAGATTGAACTACGCATCCATTTCAACGGCCAATCAGATTCCTCCCTGAAACGGATTATCCCAGAGCCTCGCGTTCCTTCCCGAGGATCGCAGGCTCGGGGAACGAGATTGGGAGATTGTAAAAACCATAGGTAAAAACGATGTTTGAAATTTGAACAAGCGGTTGTGGAAGCACTGGTTTTTCCCTTTTTCCCTGGTTTCCTTCCTGGTTTCCTCTTTTCGTTTATGGCCGTCAAGCACAGAGGTTTGGCGGAAGCGCAGATATAAAAACAATAAAACAATTTCGTACGAACCCTTTCGTACGAATCTAGCAAAAGAGACTAAAGATGCTAACGGCTAGCCGATTGTATTTGGTGACATGTGGACATGATTTGGACAGAAGATCTTCGAGTTTCACAGATGTAAGGATTTTATATACATTTTTTCCTTATTTTGCATGTCATTTTTTAAGATATAATATTCGTTTGTGTCATGTTGCTTTTTGCTATTGTTTAATAATGTATGTGCATATATACGCTGCTCATTCCTATAAGAATAACTTCCTATATGTTCCGTTTTTCGAACCGGCTTAATTTCGTCTTGCGAATTTTTATGACGCAGTTTCATTTTCACCTCTCTTGCTTTGTAGCTTTTGTCGCTGTCCAGGTCGGCCAAAACACAATGTGATTAATGCAATCGTTCTAACCAGATTGAAAACTTAAACAATATTTGAAAACTTAATTAAACATTTTTTCGTGATATTATCGATCTGTTTGTTCCATATGTTACAGTAAATGATCGTCAATTTATACTACACCTAATGTTTTGGATTTATTAACTCGTTTAATTGTTGCTTCTCCTAGTTTAATTTGTGGATCATTAATTATATTAGCTAGACGTTGTTTAGATCCTATTATCAAAAACTCTTTTCGTTATTTAATGCGAGTTTATTGGCAAGTAACCATTGACGTACCTTCTCCTAGGTAGTATTCATTCAATTTTTCATTAATTTCATCTACCAGGCAGTTAGTCGCCTGCGTAGCAGTTGCTTTATTTTATTGTAGGTTTTGAGGATTTTTGAATAAATGGCGAGTTAAAAAAAGGCGAGAAAAAACGGGCGAAAAATAAAGGGCGAAGGAAAAATAAAGCGCCTGCAACCGTCCTTAATAAAAATTAATTCCACCCACTTACTTGAAATTCCTGGCCACATTCCATGGCGAAAACAACCAACCAATCAGACACGAGCCGCAAGTATGAAGTGAAGTGGCGGCGTAATTTATGTCATGAAAACAAACAGACGCGAGCACAACATGTGAGAGTTTAAGATATACGATTTTACGGGCCGGCTCAATGAATTTTAGCTCAAGGATGAGCGCTAAGCAATTTGATTACTCTAATAAATGTTTGAAGCTTTCTCAAATAACCTCAAATATTGTTCGGCTAAAGCGATGCAATGTTTGCTGTAATTTTGACATTAAGTAACACCTCATCAAAAGATTAGAACAAAAAAAGTTCCTTGGATTACAAGTGCTATAAAGCAACTTATAATCACAAGGGACAGATTAAAAAGAAAGGCCATTATTACAAACCTAGAGATAGACTGGTTAAATTACAAAACAACGAGAAACAAAGTTAATATTCAGCTAAGAAATGCTAAAAAAATTATTACTCCACTAAAATTTCTGATCAAAAATGCAACCCTAAAGAGGCTTGGAAAACTATAAACGATATACTAGGTAGGCAAAGCAAACCAACAGTAGTAAATGAGTTAAAATGAGGTGAAAATAGTTTGACAAATACCAAAGATATTGCGGAGGGCTTTAATAATTAATAATTATTTTTCAAATATTGGCTCTGATCTAGCTAGCAAAATTGATACTCCAAATTTGAACTTTCAAACATATATTGAAAAGGCTAAATCAGAATTCAGTGCATTCCAGCCAGTCACTGTCAAACAAAAAACTCAAGCAATGATACTGGAAAGTCTCAATATAGTTATGATTTGAAAGTTGACAATCAAACTATCAAAACCAAAGATACTCTAAAAATTCTGGGAGTAACATTAGACGAAGAGCTGAATTTTAAACCTTATATCAAGGTTGCATGTTTGCCAAGATTGCTACCCTACGACGACTGAAATGTACATATGGTGCCAAAAGAAACATTAACTAAGCTTTATAAGGCTTATGTTTTACTGCATCTTGAATACTGTAGCCCATTGCTCATAGGCGTTTTAGCAACATTTAGCAACTATGTGCTCGCTTGAACACAGAAGAGTTGAGCTGTCATTAATAATATTCTATAAAAGTTTCAAGCAAAATGGCCCTACCTATATTTCTAATTTTTTTTAACTTTGTAATACTCCACATGCTTTAAGAGGTGATGGTCATAATGTGGTACAGGCTGTGTATAACAGTCATTATTTGCATAACTCCTACAAGTATATTATTTCCCATATTTGGAATCAGTTACCACTTTCTACCAAGTCATCTACCTCATTGTCTGAATTTAGAAACCAGATTCACCAATCTGATTTACTTGGCTGTCAATGTTATGTATGCATTTAGTATTAGTATATAGATTGTTAATTAATTAATACCATGTAAATATTTTATATATTGGTAAATAGGTATTATTATCGAGCAATTCTATCATGAGCCCCTGGCTTGAGTGATTGGGCAACCACACTCTGTGTCATTCGACATTAAATAAATTATTCTATTCTATTTTATGATGATATATTTGTATCATCTGCAAACATACTTACACTGGTACTAGTTCAGAGAGTTTAAATATGTTTGATGCGAAACCAGGATTATTCATATTGAGTGTAGACGTTCTCTGGTTAAAATATTTATTTTTTACAAGCTTTCGACTGTCAGTCCACAGTCTTCAACGGGTAGATTATAATGCTGTAGACTGACAGTCGAGAGCTTGTAAATAATAAATATTTTAACCAGAGAACGTCTACACTCAACAGTTCAAAGAGTATTTCAGAGCCTAATCAATTGTTGCACTTTTTGCTGTTATTAATTAATTTAGTCTACTATTTCAAACTTGATGAGAACTCCAAAGACTGTAGAATACTACTTTGGACAAGAATATTTCACAATTTACAGAATTATGTTTTTATTGTACTAACTGTAGAACATCAGCTGAACTAGTTAATAATAATAATAATTGATGGTTTATTGACATATTTTTGCACCAAAAATTGCAATATGTTTACATTTTAGGGTTAAGACAATAATTAATCAGGGTCTTAAATCTTTTCAAAGGTTTTTCCACAAATTTCTTGGCGTCTGTCATCAAGGCGCTTACACTGAGCAATGCTAAGAGCGTCTTCATAATCAGCTTCAGGGTATATTATACAAAAAGCCCTTTTTTTAAAACTTTTTTGATTTTATCAGATAAGTACTTTGATAACGTAGTATGCTAATCAAGGCAAGCGTATTCCATAATTGACCGCACTAAGGAATAGTAAACTGCCAACAAGTCACTGGATGGAAGGCCACAGCGTCGCAATACACGAATAATATACAGACGTTTCGATGCTTTTTTATTATTGTTGGAGTATGTCTTGCCATTTTAGCTTATTATTGATTGTAATGCCCAGGACTTTGAATGAAGCGACTAGCTCGCTGATGATACAAATATTTTCATAAGTGGCCTACCACATGCAAGATAAGGAAGAAGATGGAAATTGATTTAATTAAACAATGTTAACCAGTGGCTATTAGCCAATAAGTTAACTCTGTGTTTGAATAATTAGACCATATAGGCTTAGTACAAAAAGATTATTTTAATAACTACGTTTCGGAGTATAACTCAATCTTCAGGTTAAAAGTAACTAAATATATAAAACTTTAAAAACAAGTTACTTTTAATCTGAAGATGGAGTTATACTCCGAAACGTAGTTATTAAAATAATCTTTTTGTACTAAGCCTATATGGTCTAATTATTCAAACACAGAATTACTACCAATCCTTCCATAGGATCTGACAGCTCAAACGTGTTTCGACTACTAAACCCCTTTTGTGGAAC